TGTAAAACACGGTTTTTGTGTCGATCTACCCGTAAAATGCACCACATCATCCACATGCACATACAATGATACTTGATAGTGATACGTACATGTGCGTACATGCACACGCTAGCGCCTAGCTAGCGTGTAAAAATGTAACACGCTGATTGTACGTGTACAATGCATCCTCCGCAACGAAGTGGTCGCGTTGGCTGCGACATACCTAGCTAGCACAAGTAGCAGCTAGCAGGGAGTCGACCCCAGCCTGGCCCAGGCCAGTCGAACCGACTCCCTGCAGAGTGCAGTCCTGCTACTGCTAGTGCTAGCGACCGCTAGCTAAGCTAGCATTAGCAAGCAGCATTCCCAGTTGACTACAAAGTAGTGACTAAGTACAGTCCCAGGTGCATTGCCGACTAGACTCTGCCGAGCCAGAGACTCTGACTGAGACCGATAAGGGCTTGAAAGTGCTACGTCACAGCATAGCAACAATTTCAAAAATTCAAAAACTGGATCCACTTGGATCCAGTTTTTGTATGGATCCAAGCACATTTCAAGCGGTCTTACCCACAGCATGGTGATGTAGCCAGTGAAACTGACTGATTTGGCTACTGGGGGCGGGGTTACAACTGGTGGCGAAATAAAAGTCACACCTGCATGCGACATGAGTGGGTTGCTATGCACCCACATACATAGGCAATAGCAAAGTCACACCTTAGTGGATCCAAAAATAGAAATCTGATGTCAACTTACTACTCCCTGGCCGTTTTGACGTCATCACTTTCAAGCCCTATTAAGCCCCGCACTTATACTTTTTCAACCAGTCCGGACTTAGTGTAAGTGTAAGTTATAATGACTGGGCTTCTACTAGCTAAAACTGGGCTTGTAAGTTTTCAACCACCTGGTACATATAAATTAAAATTGCCTATTATTTTTCATTTATAATACCGGTATATCAGTAGCCCATAGTTTCCCAGCAGGTACCAAGCTAGACTGCAGTTTTGTGCTTCCTGGTAGGTCTACACTCAGTCTGAACAAAGTACCGGTAGTTTAGGTCTCGGGGATCACAGACCTTTTTGTTGTTGTTGTTGTTGTTGTTGTTGTTGTTGTTGTTGTTGTTGTTGTTGTTGTTGTTGTTGTTGTTGTTGTTGTTGTTGTTGTTGTTGTTGTTGTTGTTGTTATGAATTCTTTATTCTCACGATGTTGTTGATGTTGTTGTGTATTTTTGTTTGCTTTGTCTTCTACTTCAAGTACGACTTTATAATTATTGCTTCCATTCGCTTCCATGCAATTGGGCGACACCGCCTGTTTGGTTCTGCGAATTCAAAATAAAAACGTACCTACATATACCTACATTGTACATGTACCTGGTCTTGCGAAATATCCCAATCTGCTATACGAGTACTGAGTCTGTACTGTGTACATGTTACAAAGACAACCAACGGTCAGGACTGATCCTGAGACAGAGAGTAGAACTACATGTATATTAGTAGGCGGTCCTGAAGGCTGTTAACAGTATAGTGTTAACAGTATAGATATTCTGCATGATTGTAATTGGTGCATTTGTGGACACATGATTAATTTTAGAAGTAACACTTAGTTACCTACCTGTACTGCAGACTGCACGACACTGCACAAGCCAAACTTCCTAAGCTGGTTGTGTTTCTTAACACAACTGTATAGACGGTGGTAACGCGGACGTACAAACTTAACTAACTTTTACAGACTGTAGTTAGTATCGGTTGCTGGCAGACTCCTAAGCATCTCACCGACTCACTTTGAGCTGTTCCCAAATGACTTTCGACTTGTTTGTTTGCGTCTATGTTATTATTATTATTGCCTATCCTGAGTAGCTAAATTCCACTTCAACGGTTCAACCCCTATTGCACCCTTTATTTGCCACTCGTCTTCACTCCCATTTATTTTATATCTGTTTGATTTTCTGCTGTGTTCCAAATTAGGTCCTCCCCTCTGTTCTTTCATTTCGCCAGTGCTTACGCGACTGTTGTGCCTCCCCCTCAATTAACTATTTGGTGCGCCTGCCATTCGAAGATGCCCAGACCTCTGGTCGGTTGAACAAACTTACATGGCAGGCCCTACCAGCACCGCTAGCCTAGCCTCATGCCTCATGGCCCATGTGCCTGTCGGTGAGTTGTGAAAAATGTCATTGAAGTGGGCATGACCTCGGTAAATCATGGCACAGTACTCAGTAGTAACCGTTACGAGGTGATTTAGCTACATGACCCATGCCATGCCATGGCGTCGACACCAGTCAGTATACTATAGTCATAGTCATTGTGGTCATAATCAACACATTCGAACACTGCATGACTGTGAGTCAGTGATCTGACGATTCAAGAGTTGCAGCTCACTTGGCAATTACTTGGGGTTGATGGTTTATCGCATCATGGGTCGTAAGACTCGTGACTAACTTTCCTGGATTTTAGACTGGAGAATGAATATTCTAATTTCCAAGCTTTACTTCTCTGTGCACACGCAATGATGCAGCAGACATGTTCACTCCGGTCTCTTTGCGGCTTCGGACCTTTTAGGGAGGGCATTTGCACAGACAGTGCTAAACGGGGATCTGCTAAAGTAAGAAGTCGCCTATGCAGTCCACTGCTAACAAATAATTGTACAATCATGTACTGTAGTAGATCTACATCCAAGCTGAGTAGGCACGTTCGACGATTCCGAGCAGTTGTTGCGAACATGGCCTCACAGGATAGAACAGCTGAAGGTGTCACACACATGGTTATGTAAGACTATTCCGGTAGTAACTTCAAATGATGAACAAACAAACACACACACACACGCATACGTGACACACACACACACACACATACGTGACACACACACACACCACACACACACCACACGCACACAGGGGGCGCACAACTTGAACGTTCTGTCGATACATTGCGAAACGCTTCCGGAATGCTCCACGGGTCATGGGCACGGGCATCTGTTTAGAATGTCGCATGTGACAGTATTCCGTAGCCTGTACTCAATGTGTTTACCTACATGGCATACAGTCATGCACGTGTAGGCATCGTCAGTGCCCGACACAAGAAAGCAAAGATATCTAAAAAAATCCTTAGAGTAAGGTTCTCTTTTATTCTCTTTTGGCACTCCTGTGTGCAGCCGCACCATGCATGCTCCTACCCCTAACACACCTCACTCACATGCACACCCACACCCACATACACACGCACACATGCACACATGCACAGCAGCAACAGCAAGAAGAAAAAATGCCCGACACAAGAAAGCAAAGATATCTAAACAAAATCTTTAGAGTAAGAAGGGTTTCCACTTTTCCAGTACTCCCTTGTGTTATTGTATTTATGGATTCTCCACAGGCCTTAGCCTAAATCAAGGGAGTCTCCGTCAACAGCTTATGAAGAAGAAGCCGCAAAGGTTCTGAGTTAGCAACGGTCTGGGTCTGTGATACCAAGGCAGGTAATTAGTTATTTCAACTTAGTTTGGTCCAAACATTGCTCTCCTGACTGCCAAGACGACAGTAGGGGGAAGAGACACGTGCAACTACTGACAACGTCCCCTTGCTTCCTCCTTATAAGGTAAGGCTGCTGACGACAGTTTCTCTAGAAGTCACACAGTATTACCAATGTGTCACTGTCACTAGTGTTGCACTGTCAGCTGGGGCAAGGATCTACAAAATGTAGGAGGAGTCAGCTGGCACTTACAAGTAACCAGGGACTGGGAGAAGTAAAGCCTCATCCCTGGCCTGGTCACAACTCATCATGTCAGCCTGGTACAGCTCATGCCATGTACTGTGACTCATGGTATACCGGTACAGGTATTGCCTTTGCTGAGCGATCATTCATTTTTTTTCACATCAAGGCCATGAATGAAACTTCTTCATCAGACTGTTCAGTAGAATGTGCCCGCGGTACGCGGTAGTACTAGTAGTAGGTACAGCCAAGACGGCCAACAATGACATTCTGAACGCCGAGAGTAGTGTGTGTTTGTGTACATGACAGTACAAGTATGTGGTATACCGGAGGTTGGCAGATAATGCTCGAAAATGGCATATTCTTAGTTCTTAGTGATACAATCAATGACTGTTGTTTTCTTGGAACGAACTGAGTCTTGCATTTTGCTTTGGCAAACAAATGTACAAATAATCATGTATGTATATTCTTCTGTCGCGACTCACTCATTTCATTCATGACATGCAATTGTAGACCCCACATAAATGTACATGTAACGAGAATTCAGAACTTCAGTTGTCTGAGGATTGCCTTAGTTTTGCTATGTGCATGAAGCGCAACCTTGCCACGTTCCAAAGCAGGACATCCATTGTAAATGTATACAGAGGCAATTGTCTCCGGTGTAAATGTACACAAATGCTTTGGTCCAAAGCAGGACGGCTGGACAACCTGCAACAATGACCTAGCCGGTTGTCTCTGTTCTCTTCTGCCTTTGCGCATGTTACATAGAGGCTAAGAGCTTTCATGAACATAATCAGAATCACTGATGACTTGCATGCATTGTTGGGCTCCATGTTCTTCGATCCAGGCCTGCATAAGCCTAGTGTAGTTCCGGGGGCTTTTGCCAAGCCCTCCCAGATCTCTCACTCAAACATTTCAGAAATTGCATTGCCTGGACAGATGAATGCAGATACTCATGGCAGGCAAGATAATAAAGTAAGTTTCTTGCAATCATGACGTCATTGTGGTTTGTGAGCGGTGGGGAAAGTCTACTACAGAGATTCGGACTTGGCCTACTACATGTACATGTGCTAAGGTGGACATTTTGGCCGCGTAATCAGGTGACCTATGACGTCACTTCTTTAAAAGGGCCTCATGCAGCATACAGTTTCACACAAGACTTACTCCGTGACCGTGAATGCCAAAAGTCAATCTCAATACTAAGTATCGTGTGGTACGTATATGATTTTTGTCAACATGCTACTATGCCAGCGTTTAACCTATCTTCTTCTATCAAACCATAGATATTCATGTTGCAACAGAACACACACAATATGCTGAAAATTCCGA